GTAAGGGATTGTGGACAAGTTATCGGTGTCCATATTGAGGGTAATACCCCGAAAAAAATTGCAGAATTTTTAGGACTTTCAGAGAGTGAGAAATTTACTGGACATTGTTTCCGTCGTTCAAGCGCAACCCTTTTGGTAGAACGTGGAGGAGATCTCAGCACCCTCATGACTCACGGAGGTTGGAAACTTCGTCCGTTGCAGGCAGTTACTTAGAACATTCGACGAGACTCAAAAGAAATATTGCTAAGAAAGAGAGTGAAGAAATTAATTTGTCACCAGCGAATACTTGTTTACTAAAGCAGTATCCTAAAAAACAATTATTAGTGTCCATGGGCGCGTAACCTTAATTGGGATAAAACTATAGTTCCTGACAAAACCCTATTAAAAAAACTTGTTGATTTTGATGAGCTCTACAACTTATTAAAATTAAAGCACTTATTTCTGGGACACCTGTATTTGCAGCCATATATATGTAATACATTTAGCAATACCTACGTGTTGAAATATTTACAACTGTAACCAAAAATATATTTATTTTAAAAAACCTTTGAAAAAGTTCGAAATTTTGATAAAACAATTTCTCTACTGCAGAATGCATCGTTCGATAAGGTGCGTGTTAATGAAGATAGATGGAAGCAGTCCTGAAAATGAAGAAAAATATAACTAGCATATAAGTTAGGCAACCGATTGCTTTCCGGAAAAAGTTTTGTTCGCGTACTTTCAAAACTTAAAATTACGCCATTGGAAATGTTTTGTGGGTAATCACTCGTAACAAAGAAATGTGGCAAGATATTAAATTACGAACAGTTTAGTAATCTAGGTACGCCTGGAAATAGTTTATGAAGACATTTCTAGAACACAAAAAAACCGTTTTAACGTATTTTCGTAATATTTAAAATTTTCTTTCACAAAACGCTTTAAAAACATAAACAAACACGATTAAACATGCTGTTGGAAACACACAACATTTGGAATCGGTCTTCGATCCTTCACACTTTATTGGTTTGCGAATATTTGTTTCTGTGAAATTATACAGAGGACACTTTCCAGTAACAAAGTCAACTTCATACATTTTTAGCCATTCGAAGAGGAAATTCGCTGATTTGTTATCGAGATACTCACATTCGAAAGTAAACCTTTCTATAGTACAGTTTCTGCTGCAAAAATCTGTATCTACTTTGGCCAAGGGGTTGTATCCTAATTCCAAGACCGACAAAACATGGTTAGCAAAAATATCCTTGTCTAATCGCTTTATATTATTGTTAGTTAGAATTAAATGTAAGGGAGTCTGTGGCGATAAGTCTTTTAAAAAATGTCTGTCAAGATTTGAAATGTCATTAGTTGCTAAGGAAATTAACGTGTGTGGTTGCTGAACGAAACCAAAAGCGCTTTCTTGCAAATATACAATATCGTTACAATATAAAATCAGTGTTCGTAATTTTGGTGTCTCTTTAAAAGCACTTGGATTTAGTTCTTTCAAGTGATTATTGTTTAAACGTAACTGTACCAAATTTGGCAAGTGGTTGAAGGCAGCGTCCTCTATTTTTGTTATAGAATTGTGATCCAAAAAAATAAACTGCGAGCTTAGATTTTTGAATGTATTTGTTTTAATCGTTGCTATTCGGTTGTTGACAATTTTTAGTTTGTCCTTGACATCTCGTATGTTTTCCGAAAAACAACCCTCTATTTCTTCTATACCACACCGGTTGAAATTCACGAAATTTAGTTTTTGGGTAAAATTTATCATTGCACAACATAACCTCGGTATAAATTCATTCACAACATCGATACCTTCTCCAGAGGTGGTAGTAATAGTGCTTGATAGAAAAGTCGGCTTGTAGGTTGCATTATACGTGACGCTATACCGAACTAACCAGAATTCTGAGGTTTCACAACCAAAATTTGCTGGTATAGAGGCAGAAAAAATGAGTAAAGACAATATGACTGAAGACATTTTGAAATACGTTATAAAAGGGTTAAGGTTTGCTATTATATTCAGTATTCTACGGGAGTGGATAATTCAAGAACAATGAATTGGTCAATTAGAATTTATTATTCATCTGTTTGGGAAGTTTGGAAAAAAAGGAGGATAACTGATTATTACATTGATTGTTGTTGGAAAACATTTTCGTCATCATGGAATATTTTTTATACAGATTTAAGTTTAACCTGTGGCATACTAGCAGAAGATACTAAAATAAGCTGACTTTGTACTTTATTTTAATAGTTTTGCTTTGCGATGGTTTCTGACATGATTTATTTAATTTGTCGTAGTTGAAGATGTAATCATAAATTTGAATTAATGAATAAATTTAACATCATGTAAATTCTTGTTTTTTAAAGATCTTACTACACTTTGAAGTAACTAATATTTCTTGCTTGCAGTTGACATTCTTTTCATAAGTCGATAATTTCTTCTGTTCACTAATATACTTCAATTTTGGTTTTTTCTCATTCCTTCTTTCATTAAAAATGATTTATTGCAGGCCTCTATTACTTTTTCAATGCGTGACTCTCAGTCGTAAAAGTTTTCGTTTTCCTCCCCCCATTCTGATTTGCTTGTTGACTTCACCTTTATTGTTAGTTTTATCTTACCCTCTATTTTGTTAACGGGTATGTCTTTTCCAAAATCAGTTTTATCTTATCAAATACTAGCCCCGCCCACCCGCCCTCTATTTTCATAAAGACTATGTCATCTGCCAAAATCAGTCTTATCTTATCAAAAACTAGCCCCGCCCACCCGCCCTCTATTTTTTTTAGACTATGTCATCTGCCAAAATCAGTCTTATCTAATCAAAAACTAGCCCCGCCCGCCGACCCTTTATTTTCTTTGAGGGTATGTCATTTGCCAAAATCAGTCTTATCTTATCAAATACTAGTTCCTTGCACCCATCCTTTATTTCCTTAGAGGGTATGTCATTTGTCAAACTTAGTCCTCTCATAGCAAGTACTAGTCCCACCCAGCCACCCTCTATTTTCTTAAAGACTATGTCATTTGCCAAAATTAGTCTTATCTTATCAAACACTATCCCCGCCCGCCCACCCTCTGTTTTTATTACATTGATTGTTGTTGGAAAACATTTTCGTCGTCTTGGAATATTTTTTATACAGATTTGAGTTTAACCTGTGGCATACTAACAGAAGATACTAAAATCAGCTGACTTTGTAGTTAATTTTAATAGTTTTGCTTTGCGATGGATTCTGACATGATTTATTTAATTTGTCGTAGTTGAAGATGTAATCATAAATTTGAACTAATGAATAATTTAACATCATGTAAATCCTTGTTTTTTAAAGATCTTACTACACTGTGGAATAACTAAGATTTTTTGCTTGCAGTTGACACTCTTTTCATAAGTCGATAATTTCTTCCGTTCACTAATATACTTCATTTTTGGTTTTTCTCCTTCCTCCTTTCATTAAAAATGATTTATTGCAGGCCTCTATTACTTTTTCGATGCGTGACTCTCAGTCGTAAAAGTTTTCGTTTTCCTCTCCCCCTTCTGTTTTTGCTTGTTGATTTCAGCTTTATTGTTAGTCTTATCTTACCCTCTATTTTCTTAAAGACCATGTCATCTGCCAAAATCAGTCTTATCTTATCAAATACTAGCCTCGCCCACCCACCCTCCATTTTCTTAAAGACTATGTCATCTGCCAAAATCAGTCTTATCTTATCAAAAACTAGCCCCGCCCGCCGACCCTTTATTTTCTTTGAGGGTATGTCATTTGCCAAAATCAGTATTATCTTATCAAATACTAGCCACGCCCACCCGCCCTCTATTTTCTTAAAGACTATGTCATCTGCCAGAATCAGTCTTATCTTATCAAATAATAGCCCCGCCCACCCACCCTCTATTTTCTGAAAGACTGTGTCATTTGCCAAAATTAGTCTTATCTTATCAAACACTAGCCCCGCCCACCCACCCTCTGTTTTTATTACATTGATTGTTGTTGGAAAACATTTTCGTCATTATGGAATATTTTTTATACAGATTTAAGTTTAACCTGTGGCATACTAGCAGAAGATACTAAAATAAGCTGACTTTGTATTTTATTTTAATACTTTTGCTTTGCGATGGATTCTGACATGATTTATTTAATTTGTCGTAGTTGAAGATGTAATCATAAATTTGAATTAATGAATTATTTAACATCATGTAAATTCTTGTTTTCAGCAGTTCATTTAATCGCCACCAGAACAACGTTAGTACGAATTTGGTCTGGTGGTCCACGAGGAAAAGTGAGGAGAGCTCGATCGCTTTGATCAGAGCTATCGATCCCTAACCCTGATCTATGATTGTGACTCCCGATATCGATTCAGGATGAATATGATACTCTTTATGAATTATTATATTAACCAGGAACAACAAAAACCAAAGTAGGTAAAAAAGATTGTGCATTTTATTTACAGTTTAACTACTAAGCAATGTTTGTTATTAAAATAAAACTAGAAGTTCGAACATTAATTCTGGATGAAGATAATTGTTCATTTCAACTATTTCCTTATGGAAGTGGAAAGCGAAACTTTGTTAGTCACTTTTCCTTTGACAATTTGAAATTGTATTTTTTGGTGAGGTTTCAAAAAGACATTTTTAAAATTCAACCTTCAAGATTTCTGTGAATACAACCACGATACATGCCATTAGAAACAAAAGACTTTCAAAATCAGTCTTGGACCCTTCACATTTTATTGGTTTGCTCACTTTTCTTTTATTGAGATTATAGAACGGACATTTTCCGATAGTAAAATCAATATAGTGCTATTCTGTAATTTCTAACATTCTATAAAAATGTTATTGCCATGACAATTCTATTACAAAACGTCAATTAACAGAGATTGGGAAAAAATGGTATTCTGTATGTAATGTTAGTAACATTATGTTTATAACGTTGCTGTAAATTTACAGCGACAAAATTGGGACCGTATACTATAACAGTCTATTAAAAAATAACGCTGTCACGTATGACATTAATTAAAAGTGTTCAAAAACATCATAAACATGCAAAATAATTTTAATAACGAGATTAATAATATTCCCGTATTTATATACGGACTTCTGGAAGAAGACGAGAGACGAAATTACATGGGAATTTATCGGAAGCAGTTGCGAGATTCTCAAAATCCATTCGAAATGCCAGAAGTCGAGTTTATAAAAACATTTCGCTTAAACCAAGATTTGACAAGAATTTTAATTGAATGGCTGGAACCCCACGCTGGAATTCGGCGAAGAACAACAAAACTGCCCTTTTACTTAGAAGTATTAGCTACCCTTAACTTTTTGGGTACCGGCTCTTACCAGCATAGTGTGGGATCTTGCACATGGGTTGCAATGAGCCAACCGGCTATTAGCCGATCCTTAAAAAAAGTTTGTAGACTCGTTACGGGGTTATTGATGCCAGAGTGGATAAAGTTTCCAACAACAATGGAAGAGAAGACGGCAATTAAGGGTGGATTCTATGAGAAATTTGGGTTTCGTGGTGCTATTGGGTGCATTGACGGTACCCATGTCGAAATAATAACTCCGCCTATAACTGACGTAGATCACCCGCCACATGTATATATCGATAGAAATGGGGTACACAGCATTAACGTTATGCTAATTTGTGACTCCAATTGCAAAATTTTGGCCTGTGACGCTAGATTTCCTGGTTCCGTTCACGATTCAGCGATCTTCAGGGTTTCAGATATTCGGAATCATTTGCGAATGTGTTTTGAAAATGGCGATGATACCTCGTGGCTTATTGGAGATAGTGGATATGGGCAAGAACCATGGTTGTTCACACCTATTCCTGTTGTTGCCCCAGGATCGCCACAAGAAAGGTACAACCAGTTACTGCGTTCCACTCGAAATCCTATAGAACGCACTAACGGCATGCTAAAGGGTCGCTTTAGATGTCTAATAAAGCATCGAGTTCTACATTTTCATCCAGTACAGGCTGCCTATATAATATATGCTGCAAGCACATTACACAATATAGCTCTGTGGGCGAATTTGGCTTTGGAGGAAGATGAAATAGTGGTAGAAAACGACGAAGGCAACGGTGATAACGCTGTTGGGATTGTAGAACCAGAGCAGAATTGTTTTAATTTAGGACGAGCTGCCCGTGAAAATTATATAAGAAGAAATATAATACAATAATACAGTGAAAATTAACGCAAAACTTTTAATAATCGGTTTATTAAACAGGTTTATGTCATAGTTAGAAATTAAATAATTAGAAAATTATTACTACTATTAATGATGTACCGACTATAGTCGGCCGACTAGTCGGCTTTGTTAAAACCGGTTAAAATTGGTTTAATCGACCGAAAATTGGTGTCAAAGTGTAGATATTCTTCCGCTAGTTACGATTCTGAAATCGCCGTCACGATATCTGGTCCAATAAACACGCAAAGCGAATTCAAAATTTTCAAAAATTTTCCAAAAAAGTGGTTAAAATTGGTTAAAGTATTGTATGAACTGCCCTAAATTGTGTTATTCTTTATTTTTGTACTAAGTTACTACAAAAAATTAAATGTTAAAATTATCCAAACAAATTTAACACATTTTTTGGAAAACAAAGAAACTTTAGTTATTCCTTTTATTAAAATAAAACAAGTTTTTAAGGTAGTCAGAGAAATAGAAAAAAAAACACACTGTCTGTTGCATTTATAAACCGGTTTTAGCAAAGCGGAACAGCCGGCCGACTATAATCGGTAAGTCGGTACATCTCTAATAACTAGTTAAAATATTTGTAAATTAAAATTAAAGTTAGGATTTTCAAACTTATACTTCTCTACTTCAAACCGAAATTTTTCTTTCTCTAAATCCAACTGCTGTTTCTGCAATTCAAGTTTTTCCCTTTCAATATCGTTATTTGTATGATTCACAGCTTTTTCGTATACTTTCAAAAGGTCTTGGCCAACAGATTTTAACGATGAATTTTGTAAATTTTGATAAGGAATTTTTTTTTTGTATTTTCTTTTAAAATACTGAATAGAATTGGGCTGGTTTGGATTAAAATTTGACGGACCAGCAACTTCAGGTTCTTCTCGAACTACATTATCATTTTCTCCAACTTCTGGTAAATTTTCCTCATCCATCAACTCAGCGCTTATATTTTCAGGTATTGTGGCAGGAGTTCTATCAGGAGTGGCAGAAGAGGCAGCATGCTCCTGTAAACCACCACATACTGTAACTTTTCTGGAGCCTGTTACTGCCACTCTGCCCCACACTGACAATCCTCGTTCCTCTAATGGAGTGAGTTTGATGTCACTGGCAGGACCTCCTCCAGTTCTTTTTCTTTCCACCACACATTTCCTATACTTTGCCCTGGTGGCATTTTTCCAATTATTAAAGCGCTGTAAAACACAAAATTTATTTATTTTTATCCATTTGAAAAAGAAATTAGCGGAACTCTTGTCAAGATACTCACATTCAGCACTAAGTTTTGCAATAGTACAGTTGCTGCAAAAATCTGTATCTATTTCGATCAAAGGGTTGTACCCCAGTTCCAGATTTGTCAAAACGTGGTTACTAAAAATATCCTTACCTAATCCTTTTATATTATTGTTAGTTAGGTCTAAATGTAGATGAATTTGTGGTGATAAATCGTTTAAAAAGTGTCTGTCAAGATTTGAAATGTTGTTAGACGACAAGGAAACAAACATGTTTGTGTACTGGACGAAAGCAAATGAGCTTTCTTGGAGATGAATAATATCATTACAATATAACAACAGTGTCTGTAATTTTGGTATCTTTTTAAAGGCATTTGGATTTAGTTCCTTCAATCGATTATTGTTTAATCTCAGCTGTTCCAAATTTGGCAAGTTGTTGAAGGCATCGTCTTCTATTTTTCATATCGAATTACCATTTAGGAAAATTACTTGCACGTTAAGATTTTTGAAAGTGTTTGTTTTAATTGTTGTTATTCGGTTATTGACAATTGTCAACTGGTCTTTAATATCATGGACACGTTCCGAAAAACAAACCTCGATTTCTTCTATGTAACACCGTTTAAATGTTAGATAATGAATTTCTTGTGTCAAATTTAACATTTCACAACATAGTTTCGGTATGAATTCATTTATAACATCTACACCAACTGCCAATGAGGTAGTAATTGTTTTTGATCTTAAGGTCTCTGTGTAGGTAGCATTGTATGCTACGTCATCCTGAATTAATGATAATTCTGAATTTTCACAACCAAGTGTTACAGGAGCTGAAGCAGAGAGAATGACTACTGACAGTATGAAACCAGACATTGTAGAAAATGCGTTGAAAACTTTAAAAGACACCAAAATATCTGTTATTATTGTATCGATTAGGGTGTCCATGGAGAATAATTTATTATTCATCTAATTTGGAAAGTTTAGAAGGAAAAGAATAATCGATTATTATTAAATTGTGGCAAACATGACATGAAGTGTAATCGAACCCATTTAACGTTTTTGAGTATTATTGGTTGCCTAACTACGCATCGTTCCCTAACTAAAATGATATTTTTGTTTTGTTTATGAAATAAATTGAAAGAACTTGATACATAATTTTATTTTAAACGAAGACACCGAATACATTACATGTAAAATAAATATCATCTTTGTACTTGTTCGTTTGGTATTTTTACATTAAAATCTCAATATAGTTGCATCTAGTTACAAAGATATTCATCCTCCACTACTCCACGATGACATCAATCTTCTTTACAACTCACGGAATGCACAAGATTCTGATTCATTAGTAACAGAAATCAGAGCGTAAACTGGTAATGAGAAAGATTATTAGACCTCGCACACTCCGAGTGCTCTAGAATGCTTCCACAACACGACCAATGTCTTCGTCCTGGGTGACCTTCATGCCCATGACCACACCCTTTGTACCCTCCGGGCATTTTACCCCCGCAACCACAAGTAGCTTCTTTGCTTCCTCCACTGGAACAGAAACTGCAGCAGTGGAAATTACCATGATGGGATTTTGTCGTTCGAACGGTCAAAGGAAAAGGGCTGTCCTGAAAGACAACTTTGTCAAGATTATTTTGTAAAGATTGAAGACTGGTTTAACTTTGATTGGCTGTCCGTTGACGTTGACGTTAAGGAGAAGTTTACCAGATATGTCAGGAACGAAGGAGATCGTGTAGGTACCGTCCCGGTGGTCTTCAATGTCTACCAAGTGGCATTTGGACACTCCTGTGTCTCTGTAGCGGATGTCTGCGAGGATTTGGTCACCACCACGGTCGAGTTTAATGCCGTTTCGGTCCCGGGTTTCGAGGGTGACTTCGGTTTTTTTGCCAATGCGGAGGTTGTTCAAACCTGGAAATGGGAATTTACGAAATGTATTAGTTTGAATGAAATATAGTTTGAAGGTCATAATTTTAAACTGATAAAATTGTGTATAGTTTCAAACGCTTAGGAAACAGTTTGCTTTATATCTGTCAGTGTAAAAACGGCAGACTTAGGTTTAAAAAAAGGAGATAAAGCGGTCTTGAAATGTTTGGTTCAGTTCTGTACCCACACAAGTGCGGAAAAAATCTGTCGGAAGCAGTGTTGACATATAACGTATACACATATATACATGCATGTCTTAAACTAACCGTGTCTGTTGCAGAGATGCATAAAGCATTAAAATAGTAAATAATACCAACATTTCAATCATTGCCTCGAAGACAACCTCATTTGATTTGGCGCTAGGTGAAAATCATTTTCAGTTTCTCTTGTCTTCTTTAATCGCGTCAATATTTATCATCGCGTCTAGTTTCCACTAGCCTCCCAAAAATAACCCAAAGACGCGTAACGTCTTCATGTTTTGACACGACGACTAATTCCTCGCGACACATCTTAAACCCGACATGGCAACTTGAGAAATTATCCGTCACGAAGTCGAGGAAATCCCTTTTCCCGCTCGGGTTTTTTGCCCATTAAAAGCAGTTATTTTGAAATGGAGACATTCCTCGAGCTATGTAATTATTGCCATAATCATAAATCAGGAATGTCTTCTCAAATGAAGCGTACGAGTGTGGGCTAGACTGGGTGTAAAAATAAACGGTCGCGCGATTTAGGGTTGATGCACGTTAATTTAAACAAAATGTAACACATTTTATGGCCGGAGGGGATAATCAATTTCTTCGCGGTGGCTGCAGGGGAGATTTATGCGGTGTCGTCGAAGTGGTAACAGACTATCAATTTTATTAATTGGGTTTATATCGGGTACTTGGGTGCGGTAAACAAAGGGAGTGGTGTGTGCTTGTTTGGATTCTTGTGAATGTTGTGGCTGGGGAACGAAACAAGGGAGGTGATTTATGGGTTTGGACGTTAAGGGGAGGTGAAAAATTAGAGGTTAGACGCGTAGAAGACGTCCATGTTTATGTATCTCTCCACAAATATTGTAACACAGATTGCAATTTTTTGTAAATTCTTTCATTGCTAAAAAAATGGTTGAAAGTATTTCGACAAATCCTGCTTCCCTGAAAAATTATAAAATTTTATTTTGCGAAATTTTTATTTTTTGTGATAACTTCCATGGAGCGAAAACAATATTTGACCGTACAAGTCTTCAAAAAAAAAAAAAACAACTGAAATCATTGAGAAGGTTTCCTGTTCTTAAAAAAAAAAACGACAGTTGGAGGCCCCGTGAAAGTTTAAAATTCTTAAAAAAAAAACAATTGGGATCACCGAGAAATTTCCCTATTCCCAAAAAAAAAACACTTGGAGGCCCCAAGAACGTTTCAGATTCTTAAAAAAGACAGTTGGGGCTTTGAGAAGGTTTCATGTTCTTAAAAAAATCCTTGGGATTCTCGAGAAGGTTTTACACTTTTAGCAACAGACAGCTGGGACCCCCAAGAAGATTTTACATTGTTAAAATGACATTTGGGGTCCCCGAGAAAATTTTAAAAGATAGTTGGGGGTCCTGAGAAGGTTTCACCTAATTAAAAAAAAGACAGTTAGGACTTCTGAGAAGGATTCACATTCTTAAAAAAACGTTGCGACACACGAGAAGATTTCATTTTCTTAAAAAAAAAAAAAAAACAAAAAAAAAACAAAAAAAAAAACAATTGGGGCTTCCGAGAAGGTTTCACCTTGTTTAAAAAAAATACAGTTGGGACTCCTGAGAAAATTCCACATTCTTAAAAAAAGGCAGTTGAGACACCTGAGAAGTTTTTACCTTCAATAAAAAAATGCAGTTGGGACCCCTGAGAAGGTTTTATGTGCTTAAAAAAAGACAGTTGGTTTCCTGAGAAGGTTTCACCTTTAAAAAAAAAGACAGTTGTGGCCATCGAGAAGGTTTTACATTCTTAGAAACAGACAGCTGAAACTCCCGAGAAGATTTTACATTCTTAAAATGACAGTTGGGGCTCCTGAGAAGACTTTACGTTCTTACAAAAGACAGTTGGGGCTCCAGAGAAGGATCATAACTTTAAAAAAACCTTGAGACCCTCGAGAGGGTTTCACATTCTTAAAAAAAAAGGACAGTAGAGGCCCCCAAGAAGGTTTTATATTTTTAGAAACAGACAGCTGGGGTCAACGAGAAGATTTTACATTCTTAAAAAAACAGTTGAGGTTCCCGAGATGGTTTCACTTTATTTAAAAAAAAAGACTGTTAGGATCCCTGAGAAGATTTCACCTTCTTAGAAAAAAGACAGTTGGTTCCCTGAGAAGGTTGCACGTTTTTAAAAAAAGACAGTTGGAGCCACCCAGAAGATATCTCCTACTTCAAAAAAAAAAAAAAAAACAATTGGAATCACCGAGAAAGTTCCCTATTCTTAAAAAAGACAGTTGGGGCTTCCGAGAAAGTTTCATATTCTTAAAAAAAAACCTTGGGGCTTTCGAGAAGGTTTCATCTTTTTAAAACAAGGGAGTTGGGCCCCCCGAGAAGGTTTTACATTCCTAGAAACAGACAACTGTGATCTACGAGAAGATTTTACTTTCTTAAAATGACAGTTAGGGCCCCCGAGAATATTTGACAGTCTTAAAAAAGATAGTTGGGGCTCCACAGAAGGTTTCCTAACCTTAAAAAAAACCTTGGGATGCTCGAGAATGTTTCATTTTCTTAAAAAAAGACAGGTGGGGCCCTCGAGAAGGTTTTATACCCGTGAAGGTCTCAACTTATTTAAAAAAAATCCCTTGAGATCCCTGAGAAGATTTCACATTCTTAAAAAAACAATTGGTTCCCTGAGGTTTCCCCTTAAAAAAAAAATGGTACCACTGGGAAAGTTTCACATTTTTTTAAAAAGGCGACAGTTGGAGGCCCTCGGGAAGGTTTCATCTTCTTTAAAAAAATTCCATAGAGATCCCTGAGAAAGTTTCACATTCTTAAAAAAAGACAAGTGGTTCCCTGAGAAGGGTTCACCTTTTTTAAAAAAGACAGTTGGGGCCCTCGAAAAGGTTTTACATTTTTAGAAAAGACAGTTGGGGCCCCTGAGAAGGTTTCATCTCCTGTAAAAAAAGGCAGCTAGGGTCTCCGAAAAGGTTTCACCTTCTGTAAAAAAAGACAGTTGGTTCCCTGAGAAGGTTTCATCTTTTTTAAGAAAAGACAGTTGGTGCTCTCGAGAAGGTTTCACCTTCTTAAAAAAAGACAATTGGAGCCACCGAGAAGGTTTCAGATTTTCAAAAAAACAGTCGGGGTCCCCGAGAAAGTTTTACATTCTTAGAAACAGACAGCTGGGACCCCTGAGAAGATTTTACATTGTTAAAATGACATTTGCGGCCCCGAGAAAATTTTGCATTCTTAAAAAGGACAGTTGGAGCCCCTGAGAAGGTTTCACATTCTTAAAAAAACCGTTCGGACCCCCGAGAAGGTTTCCCATTAAAAAAAGATAGTTGGGGGCCCCCTAGAACGTTTTACTTTATTAAAAAAAAGACAGTTAGGACCTCTGAGAAGGTTTCACATTCTTAAAAAAAGACAGTTGGCACACCTGAGAAGGTTTCACATTTTTAAAAAAAGACAGTTGGTTTCCTGAGAAGGTTTCACCTTGTTTAAAAAAAGACAGTTGGAGTCTTCGAAAACGTTTCACCTTCTAAAAAAGAAGATAGTTGATTCCCCCGAGAACACTTTACATTTCTAAAGAAGGCAGTTAGAGCCCTTAAAAAACCTTTGGGACCCCCGAGAAACTTTCACTTTCTTCAAAACAGTCACTTGGGACCCTTGAGAAGGTTTCACGTTCTTAAAAAAAAGACAGTTGGTTCGCTGAGAAGGTTTCACCTTTTTTAAAAAAAAGACAGTTGGTAGACCTGAGGTTTCACTTTCTTAAAAAAAACTTTGGGACTCCCGAGAAGATTTTACATTGTTAAAATGACATTTGAGGTCCCGAGAATTTTGCATTCTTAAAAAAACCGTTAGGACCCTGGAGAAGGTATCCCATTAAAAAAAAAGATAGTTGGGGGCCCCTAGAATATTTCACTTTATTAAAAAAAAGACAGTTAGGACCTCTGAGAAGGTTTCACATTCTTAAAAAAAGACAGTTGGGACACCTGAGAAGGTTTCACATTTAAAAAAAAAAGACAGTTGGTTTCCTGAGAAGGTTTCACCTTCTAAAAACAAAGATAGTTGACGTCCCCGAGAAGATTTTACAATTTTAAAAAAGGCAGTTAGAGCCCCGGAAAAGGTTTCACATTCTTAAAAAAACCATTGGGACACCCGAGAAAGTTTCACCTTCTTTAAAAAAATACAGTTGGGACTCCTGAGAACATTCCACATTCTTAAAAAAAGCAGTTGGCAGACCTGAGAAGGTTTCATATTCTTAAAATTACCTTTGGGACTACCGAGAAGCTTTCACCTTCTTCAAAACAGTCACTTGGGACCCATGAGAAGGTTTCACGTTCTTAAAAAAAGACAGTTGGGGCCCCCGAGAAGGTTTCGCATTATTAAAAAAATACAGTTGGGACCCCTGAGAAGATTTCACATTCTTAAAAAAAGCAGTTGGTAGACCTGAGAAGGTTTCACATTCTTAAAAAAACCTTTGGGACTGCCGAGAAGCTTTCAGCTTCTTCAAAAAAAGTCACTTGGGACCCATGAGAAGGTTTCACGTTCTTGAAAGAAAGATAGTTGGTTCCCTGAGAAGGTTTCACCTTTTTAAAAAAAAAAGACAGTTGGGGTCCCCGAGAAGGATTCCCATTATTAAAAAAACCTTTGGGACACCCGAGAAGGTTTTATCTTAAAAAAAAATAATTGGGGCTTCCGAGAAGGTTTCACAAAAAAAAATCGTTGGGACCCCCCGAGAAAGTTTCATCTTCTTTAAAAAAATACAGTTGGAACCCCTGAGAAGATTCCACATTCTTAAAAAAAGCAGTTGGTAGACGTGAGAAGGTTTCACTTTCTTAAAAAAACCTTTGGGACTACCGAGAAGCTTTCATCTTCTTCAAAACAGTCACTTGGGACCCATGAGAAGGTTTCACGTTCTTGAAAAAAAGATAGTTGGTTCCCTGAGAAGGTTTCACCTTTTTAAAAAAAAAGACAGTTGGGCCCCCCGAGAAGGATTCCCATTATTAAAAAAACCTTTGGGACACCCGAGAAGGTTTTATCTTAAAAGAAAAAAATTGGGGCTTCCGAGAAGGTTTCACAAAAAAAAATCGTTGGGACCCCCGAGAAAGTTTCACCTTCTTTAAAAAAATACAGTTGGAACCCCTGAGAAGATTCCACATTCTTAAAAAAAGCAGTTTGTAGACCTGAGAATGTTTCACTTTCTTAAAAAAACCTTTGGGACTACCAAGAAGCTTTCACCTTCTACAAAAAAGTCACTTGGGACCCATGAGAAGGTTTCACGTTCTTGAAAAAAAGACAGTTGGGGCCCCCGAGAAGGTTTCGCATTATTAAAAAAATACAGTTGGGACCCCTGAGAAGATTCCACATTCTTAAAAAAAGCAGTTGGTAGACCTGAGAATGTTTCACTTTCTTAAAAAAACCTTTGGGACTACCAAGAAGCTTTCACCTTCTACAAAAAAGTCACTTGGGACCCATGAAAAGGTTTCACGTTCTTAAAAAAAAGATAGTTGGTTCCCTGAGAAGGTTTCACCATTTAAAAAAAAAAAAGACAGTTGGGGCTCCCGAGAAGGTTTCGTATTATTAAAAAAACCGTTCCCACTCCCGGGAAGGTTTCATTTTCTTAAAAAAAAAGACAGTTGGGGCCACCCAGAAGGTCTTACATTCTTAGAAACAGATAGTTGGGGGCTGCGAGAAGGTTTCACCTTCTGTAAAAAAAGCCAGTTGGGGGTCTCCAAGAAGGTTTCGCGTTTTTCAAAAAAGAAAAAAGCAATGGAACCACCTGGAAAGTTTCACATTTTTTCTAAAAAGACGACAGTTGGAGGCCTCTTAAAAAAATGACAGTTGGGCCCCCCGAAGGTTTCACGTTCTGAAAAAGAAGTGCTCTCCGAGAAGGCTTTCATATTGTTAAAAACAAATTCGAAAATTATTTCAACAGCTTCTTTAAAATACCCTGCCAGACAAGAAAAGCCGGTCATTTGAATTTTTTGTGATTACCTGCAAATAGTCCCACTTGTGTAAAAAATATTTGGAAAAGTAAAAGGATAATGTATTCATTAACAGAAAACACAAGTTTATTCTAAAACATGTGGAAACAAAAAAAAAAGCAAAAAAAGGTATAACATTAAACATTAGCATAAAATAACAAATATTCAAGTGTCCGGGTTTTTTTGTCTGGCATTGTATTTGGCAATTTTCGTTTTGTAATAACGTTTATAAAGTAAAAATTATTGGCCTAATTAACACCCTGCGGTTGGCACAACTGTGGACAATATAAAATGTATGTAAAGCAGATAAACAACGGGAAAAAAGTAGATACATATTCTCACTTTCTAAGTACATGCTTAACTTAAACAGTTTATGTGTATACTTCGAAAAAATTCGACTATTAGCAAATGTAATTTTGTTTCTTCAACGTAGAAAAGTGGACTAATTAATTAATTGACCACACTCAGTTTTTTCCCAAAAACACACTAAATTTGAAGAACGGCAAAACTGGAAGATGATGGACAAATTTTGATTAACGATTTACGATGCTTCGAATTACCTTAAAACATTTGCAAGATATAAAGCGTTCGTTTTTTGAAATCTTGATTGTTATAAAACGTTGATTTCTTCCCCAAAATTTTGTGCCAAGGGTAAAAATTCAACATGGATTCATAAATCACACATTTAGGAGCATGTTATTTTATAAAATTTAAAGAACATTTATTTTTAAATAAAATTAATTTTTAATTTTTCTCCAAAAACCTGGATTACTTCATGTGGGGTGACATAAACGAAACAATTTTGATTGTCAATTTACTATGCTTCGGAAAATCTTAAAACGTTTGTAAGATTTGAGGGCATTAGGTTTTTGTAGTTTCAAAGTTAAATTGCAAAATGTCGTTATACAATTTTGATTTTTTTTTCCAAAAATTTAGATGTCTAGAATAAAAACTGAACACAGATTGATAAACCACATGTAAAGGAGTATCTTATTTTATGAAATTGAAATAACATTTACTAATATAAATTTTGGAAGTAAAAATTCAAGAAAATTGGAATACGCCTTAAAAATAGAACACTCTGTATATTTACATTTAATTCTTACCTTCAGCACGTATAACGCACTGCTCCGCCGCAACCGTCTGCGCTGTAACAACCCCATACAACGGACAGCACCCCTTCGAATCCTGCACCACTTCCTCCGGCAAAAACAGCAAACTCCCCCCCAAACTCACATCCTCCACTAAATCCCCCTTAGCCCCACACTTCTTCACTTTATTCATCACTGGCTTCAAGAAACTCATAACTTCCACATCGGTCCCTTCGTTCAACAACTCCTCCAAGAAGAACGCCACATCCCTCGCCTCCCGCACCCTTTTGTGCAGCGCCAACTTGCGTTTGCCGATTTCTTGCAGCTTCTCGTTCTTGACCTGAGTGACTTGATGGAGCAAGTTGTTTCTGTGTTCTTCGACCGACCTTATGTACTTGTCGATGAACTCTTCCACCTCCATTTGGACTTTTCCGGATTGAGACTCGATTTTTTTCGAGGTTGCGTGGAGGCGATTTGCAGCTAAAGCTGATTGTTCGGCAATGGATTTGGCCCTTTCGGCTGCCAGGCGAAGGTCTGTCAGGTGGGTTTTGACCGCTCTGGAGACGGGCTCGCAGGGGTGGCCTTGGTGGGAGGAGGTGACGCAATCTCGGCACAGGACCTGTAAGAGTATAATGGTTTTAATTTTATAAATTACCTACTGCTACATGCCAATTATAAAAATAACCAGTAGCATTTAAAAATATTCGTTTTATATTTTAATTACGGCCCTGCACTCTTTAAAATTAACGACACTAAAAATACAACGACTCTTTGAATTTAGACCAACAGAATTTGCAGGGCGTCTAGATTGATTTACATTGGAATCGAGTCCATTGCCAATAATACGGACTTAACAACATTGTCTGCTAATCTATTTCTGAACGTACTATGTTTATGTGGGTGGCATTCAGTTTAAACGACGAACTGTTGTCACGGTGATTAAAACATAAATCAGATAAATGAAGACATGCATAGACTAGGTTTAAGTTTAACGTTCTATAAAAGCTAGATTTCCTTTGACATTTCCTTTGAGGTGCATTTATTTATGCATCTGGGTATTGAGTATTGTTTGTACGAATGAAACGCCGACACCTTTGATATTTTAGACGTTCTTAAGTGATTGAAGAAGGAGGAAGATGAAGCGAGAGAGCGAAGGGTCATTAGAGAACATAATTCGTGATTTAAAAATAATTATTGGTAGTAACGACAAGACAGGAGCGAGTAAACAAACATATTTCAAACAGATACAAAGAAAAAGCTAAAAAAATACACAAGAAAGTTTGTTTGCGTTATAAAGATGAGAAATTATTTAAAAAAAAATCCCGGCGCATCCACCATTTTTTTATTTTGCACAATATTTCGCCGTTATAAAATTAAGAACTGCGGTAGACTTAATTATGGTCTGGTCATAAAACTATTAAGCGTGATGACGACGTGATGAGCAATAAAAATTTATGTTTGCATCTTTCGCACCGCGCTGTCTCTACATCGCATACATGGCAGTCTAAATTTACACTCACAACAAATCAGTATTTTTATATTTATGTTTACGCAGATACTTGACTTAAAAATATATCTTCAGCGTTCGAAATAAATTTACTTAAGTGTCGAGATGCTCCACTTCAAAAACAGAAATGGCTCTTTCATTATTGCCTGTAAAAATAAATACGGCAAATATAGCCACTCGATTGCTCAATTGCTTGACGGTACGTCGGTAGAAGGAACTGTTGTAAGAATAAATATAAAAATTGGGCCGAATTGTGGCTTAGTGGCTCTCCCTGATCCCACGAATCAGTTGTGTTTTGATTAATTAACTTGTAAGTGCCTGGGACATATGGTATTAATCAAGCGCATATTTAACACATGGCTTGTCATATTCATAAGCAGCTGAAACCATTCAGGATGTCTGCCATTCTTAATTCTTTGGGCGAGAAATTGCATTCTACATAACTGAGATTACTTAAGATCCTACTTAAGTCAAGCGTCAGACAGAAATATAACTTACACTCGAATTTACTGGTGGAGATAATTTCTCTGGTGATGCTGATGTATGGATCGTTTTGGGTATCAGATTCCAGTCTGTTTTATTAATTAATATATACATTCGTTAACTTTTTAGTATTGTTTGTTGTTGTTTAGTATTGTTTATTATTAATTACACTGCCTTACAGGTTGATAAAGTAATACACAAAATTCATAAAAAGCCAAGCAAAGTTTTTTGAGTTTTGGTTGAAGAAGGATTTCACTTAAAATAATGAAAATTTTCAATAATCGATACGAAAAACTCGCTCAGCTGGCCAAAATTAGTCTGCAAACTTATTTTTAGACCGATTGAGCCATGTTTATTTTTTTTAGCAATTTTCCGGACTTGGGGTGAGATTTTGTTTCTATTGAAACGATAATGAACCGATAAATGACAAGGACGAAAATATAAATTTCAGATGCGAAAGAAGAAAACGACCACATTTTATCGGTACCGATATTTTATCGTTATATAAATAAAATCCCACCCCAGGGGTGCGATTTTATTTCTCGATCGAAAAAAACCCGTTAGCGATAAAATCTCGTTTGCTGATCGGTTGAGATGCTACATTTTTGTCACATTTCTCGATTCTGTTACGAAATCAAGTCTTCATGCAGCGATCTTTTCTCGATAGCTCTGAGTAAAGTGATAAATTTTGGAGACATAACCTCGAAATTTATGTCAAAATAGAAGTTCAAAATCGTAATTTTGAGTTATAAGTTCTTAAAATTAAGGTAATTGTAAACTTTTGAGCATTTAATAAGCTTATATGCAAATAATAAATGCAAACTTTTGCATTTGAAACTTACGTAATGACATTTAATTTATCGCTTCGATCGAGAAACAAAATCGCACCTTCCGCTCAAAATTTTCGAATTTAGGCCAATTCAAGCCACCTCGATTAATCGTACCTCAATTTGTGTGAAAATTAATCCTCTACCTACTTAGAACCTACTAAATAAGAATCTGGTGAAAAGAATTGTATAGGGGTTCCTGATTTTTTTTTGTAATTTTTAATTTTTTGAGTCTCCCGAAAATGACATTGTCCGATGAATGTGTACGTAGATTGTAAATAGCCACAGACACCTAGCTGAAAATATACTCTTTTATCCAGAAAACTATAGTGAAACGAGTGGTAAAGACTAGAATATGCTCTAGTTCTCTGTTTAAAAATTATGTACCGTTAAACTCACAATCTTGATTTTTTGAATTTTGGTTGAAGAAGGATTTCACTTAAAATAGTAAAAATTTTCAACAATCGATATCAAAAGTGCGCTCAGCTGGGCAAAATTAGTCAACAAACTTAATTTGAGACTGATTGAGCCATGTTTATTCTTTTAGCAATTTTTCCGGGGCAGTTTCGGTCAAAATTTTCGAATTTTATCCATATCAAGCTACCTCGGTTAATCGTACCTCGATTTGTCTGAAAATTACTCCTGTACCTAACTAGAACCTACTAAACAAGAATCTGGTGAAGAAAATTGTAGAGGGGCTCCTAATTTTGTTTTGTAATTTTTAATTTTTTGAGTCTCCCGAAAATGACATTGTCCAATGAATGTGTATGTAGATTCTAAATGGTCATAGACACCTAGCTGAAAATTGACTCGTTTGTCCAGAAAACTATAGAGAATCGAGTGGTAAAGATTAGAATATGCTCGATTTGTCTGTTTAAAAATTATGGACCGTCAAACTCAGAATCTTGATTTTTTGAGTTTTGGTTGAAGAAGGATTTCACTTAAAATAGCGATAATTTTCACCAACCGATACCAAAAACGCACTTAACTGGGCAAAATTAGTTTACAAACTTAATTTGAGACAGATTGGGCCATGCTTATTTTTTTAGTAATTTTTCTGGATCAGTTCCGTTCAAAATTTTCGAATTTAGGCCATTTCAAGCTACCTCAATTAATCGTACCTCGACTTGTCTGAAAATTACTCCTGTAACTAATTAGAACCTACTAAATAAGAATCTGGTGAAAAAGATTGTATTACAAGGGCTCCCGATTTTTTTTGCAATTTTTAAATTTTTGAGACTCCCGAAAATGACATTGTTCGATGAATGTGTACGTAGATTCTAAATGGCCGTACATATATAACTGAAAATATACTTTTTTGCCCAGAAAACTATAGGGAATCGAATGATAGAAACTACAATTTGTTCTCTTTGTCTGTTTAAAAGTTATGGACCGTCAAACCCACAATTTTGGTTTTTTTGCGTTTTGGTTGAAGAAGGATTTCACTTAAAATAGTGAGAATTTTCAAAAATCGATACCAAAGGCGCGCTCAGCTGGGCAAAATTAGTGTACAAACTTAATTTGAGACAGATTGGGCCATATTAATTTTTTTTAGCAATTTTTCCGGAGCAGCTCCGATCAAAATTTTCGAATTTAGGCTATTTCAAGCTACCTCTGTTAATCGTACTTCGATTGGTCTGAAAATTACTCCTGTACTTAATTAGAACCTACTAAATAAGAATCTGGTGAAAAAAATTGTTGAGGTGTTCCTGATTTTTTTTTGTAATTTTTAATTTTTTGAGTCTCCCAAAAATGACATTGTCCGATGAATGTGTACATAGATTCTAAATAGCCACAGACACCTAGCTGAAAATAAACTCCTTTGTACAGAAAACTATAGTGAATCGAGTGGTAAATACTAGAATATGCTCGACTTGTCCGTTTAAAAATTATGTACCGCCAAACTCGCAATTTTCGTTTTTTGAGTTTTGCTTGAAGAAGCATTTCACCTAAAATAGGGAAAATTTTCAACAATCGATACCAAAAACACCCTCAGCTGGGCAAAATTAGTCTACAAACTTAATTTGGGATCGATTGAGCTTGTTTATTTTTTTTAACAATTTTTCCGGAGCAATTCCGGTCAAAATTTTCGAATTTAATCCATGTCAAGCTACGTCGGTTAATCGTACCTCGATTTGTCTGAAAATTACTCCTGTACCTAATTAGAACGTACTAAATAAGAATCTGGTGAAAAAGATTGTAGTAGAAGGGCTCCCAATTTTTTTTGCAATTTTTAAATATTTGAGACTCCCGAAAATGACATTGTTCGATGAATGTGTGCGTAGATTCTAAATGGCCGTAGATATCTAACTGAAAATATACTCGTTTGCCCAGGAAACTATATGGAATCGAACGATAGAAACTACAGTTTGTGCTCTTTGTCTGTTTAAAAGTTATGGACCGTCAAACTCACAATTTTGGTTTTTTGAGTTTTGGTTGAAGAATAATTTCACTTAAAGTAGTGAAGATTTTCAACAATCGATACCAAAAACGCTCTCAGTTGGACAAAATTAGTCCATAAACTTAATTTGAGACAGATTGAGCCTTTTTTATTTTTTTTAGCAACTTTTCCGGTTAAAATTTTTGAATTTAATCCATGTTAAGCTACCTCGGTTAATCGTACCTCGATTGGTCTGAAAATTACTCCTGTACCTAATTAGAACCCACTAAATATGAATCTGCTGAAAAAAAAAGTAGAAGGGCTCCTGAATTTTTTGTAATTTTTAATTTTTTGAGTCTCCCGAAAATGACATCGTCCGATAAATGTGTACGTAGATTCTAAATGGCCACTGATACCTAGCTGAAAATATACTATTTTATCCAGAAAACTATAGTGAATCGACCGGTAAAGACTAGAATAAGCTCGATTTGTCCGTTTAAAAGTTATGGACCGTCCAACTCACAATTTTGGTTTTTTGAGTTTTGGTTGAAGAAGGATTTGACTTAAAATAGGGAAAATTTTCAACAATCGATACCAAAAACGCACTAAGCTAGGCAAAGTTAGCCTACAAACTTAATTTGAGATCGATTGAGCCATGTTTATTTTTTTTAGCAATTTTTCCGGAGCAATTCCGGTCAAAATTTTCGAATTTAGGCCATATCAAGCTACATCGGTTAATCGTACCTCGCTTAGACTGAAAATTACTCCTGTGCTTAATTAGAACCTACTAAATAAGAATCTGGTAAAAAAATGTAGAAGAGCTCCTGTTTTTTTTGTAATTTTTAAATTTTTGAGTCTTCCGAAAATGACATTGTCCGATGAATGTGTACGTAGATTCTAAATGGACAAAGGTACCTCGGTGAAAATATACTCTTTTAGGCAGAAAACTATAGGGAATCGAATAATAAAAATTAGAATATGCTATCTTTGTCCGTTTAAAAGTTATGGACCGTCAAACTCACAATTTTGATTTAAGTAAAATAAATCAACTAATAAGAAAATTTAGTTCACTATCAGAAATGGCCACCACATCTTTCTGGGTTTCCAGTTTTAACAAATCCGTGTTATCCATGGTATAATTGAACACTAGAGTACTCATTAATTTCGAAAACGTCATTACAAAAGATTTTGATTGCAATGGAAAATTATTTGTCATGAACCAAATATTTTTAACATCTTTTTGCAGACTTTCACAATTCCCAATGCTATTTGTATTTGAAAATATTTTTATATCGTCAGCAAAAAGTAAATATTGGACACTTAGCCTAGGTCTAATGTCATTAATGAACCTATGAAAAGGCTTGGGCCCAAAATTGATCCGTGAGGTACACCACCAAATTGTTTATACCTTGAAGATCTAATGCTATCATACTGAACAAATTGGTATCTATCCATCAAATATGATCTAAAGACTGCAGTAAACCCGTTCGAAAATCCAAAAGATTTCAATTTACCTAACAATTGTGATGAGTTTTTCATTTTATAATCAGACCGAAGGCCGGAGTTTAACTACAAAATCCATATTTCTCTACAAAATTTTACTCTTTTAAACATGTTTCAGTTTCTTGTTGACAAAACAAGACTACACATATTAAGCAAAAATGGACAAAATATAAACCCCGCCCACCCACCCTATCTCAATTGTAATGATTTTTTTATTCGTTGTGAGCCGGATGGCCAATCTCGTAGATCTCCTTCTACGTTATGTACATGCCAAGAAGACAACAATAACAAACAAATCACTAATAATAATACAATATTTCCTACCTGACAACACGTCGAACAGAACAGCCCCAACTCCACGTCCGGATGCTTCATGCACATGATCTGCCTCCTCACCCTCGTGATGCCCTTCCTTCTCGCCTCCTCCAGCGACAGCACCTCGTGGCCCGCCGCCGCCTTCTGCCTCAGGTGCACCTCCTCGCAGTGGTCACAGAAGCTCAGGGCGCAGTCCATGCACCTGGCGGTCGCCTGCGAACATCTCCACATGAACAAGCGCTCGCAAGAAGTCATCACGCACTGACCGAGACATCCGTAGTGCACACATCGCAAAGCAGATGGGTGCTGCGGGCGTTGAGCGTGGCCAGCACCATGCGGTGCTGCAGGAGGTAGTTCGGGGGGTAGTGGGACACGCCGCCGTACGGGACTTCCGCCCGCCCCCCGCACGTGGGACAGCAAATCCGCTTGACGCAGCTGCTCTGGAGCGTGCTGGTTTTGTCGCTGGTGCAGCCCGAGCCGCCGGAACCTGAGCCCTTGCGGGATTCGGAGGTGGCGGCCGACTCTGGAGAGCGAGAGGGGTGTGAGAAGAGTTGGGGATTGTGAGTTTAATAACTACAGAATGGGAAGTGGTTGTTTCCATAATTTTATAGAATTCTACTATGGAGAATGTTCTTTTGATACTAGACAACAACTTCAAAGACAGGATTAAAAATTGACAAAAGAACGAGAAATCAAAATTGTTTAGATAATACTATTATGACTAGAGACTCCGCATTTTTGACATGAGAAATAAATGCTTTGGTATATATCTGAAAAAAAAAAATCACAAAATCAAGTTTAAATAAACTTCGACCATTTTTTATATTCTGTAGCCAAATGGATTCTATTGCCATACTTTTCTAACTTACGCCCCGAAAGCAAACATACAGCTTTGTTGTATAAGTTAAACGGAACACAGGAACACTCTATATGTTTGGAAACTTTTGATCGCGGCGACAATTGATCGCAGCGACAATTGATCACACGTAAACTGATCGCAGCGACAATTGATCGCACGTAAATTTATCGCAGCGTCAATTAATCGCAAGGTAAAATTCATCGGGAAGTATTTTCTTTTATTAAAACTAAATATTTTGTATTCTGAATTTTAAATTGCAATATATTTAGCAATCAGGTAAGGTGTAAGTATCGAATTAAAAACAATTTGAATATAGATAAGTGACGAAGTTTGTAGTTGCACTTTAAAAATTAAAAAATACGAGCGTAAACACCTTGTTACATAAGATTTTTTAGTAATAAATTGTCATTTTGGTTATTTTTTTTAAAGAGATTGTTACTATTTATGTCGTTGCTTATTTTACCTATTATATTATAGGAACTAGCTTCATTATAATAAGTATTCAACATAAAAAAAAGTGTTTATTGTTCTTAACTAGATTTATTACACAATTATTTAAAAAATTATATTTTTAACAACCTTTAAATTTTAAGACATTAGGTACAGAATTGCTTCTATTGTCTACTCTTGTTTTTATACATATCACCAAACAATAAAATGTATGAACTAGTAGAACATCTACAGTATCCATATGCAGCGAATGTAAATTCCACTGGACGGAGATAATACTTATTTTAATCCTTTGTAAATAGCAACGGATCTTTTACAGAATTTGAGAAAGGTTTACGTGTATTGTAAATATATATTGCAAAAACTTTTGTTAGAGCCTCAAGAATAATTTTGTGTTACCGGGAAATCTAAGAAATGTAGGTACTTACGCAACTAAAAACTTACTTTTTAATTATTATTATGTGACTAGTATTGTACTCAAGAAAAATTCAGTTGTACCATATGTGGGTGTAAAAATACATATACAGGGTTAGTCACGAGAAAATTACTTCTGAAAATTATTTTTACGCAACCCAAAATACGAATACCGTGTACCACTTGATACTAACTGAATTTAAAATGAAATGCTTAATCCATGATTGCTTTGAGTTTGGCAACGTCATTTTGAGAATTCTGGAAAAGGAGGTTACGCGAGTATCCATGGTGGTACTGCAGCCTGGATCTTTTGCAACCGATTAATATGAGAAAATTATTTCTAAAAATTCCTTTTACGATAGATATTTCTGTGACGTGTAAAACAGCTCTTAGATCTAAAAAATAAGGAAGAAATAATTGATTCCCAGTTTTCCATGAATGACCCTGCTACGGGCTGCTACCTGATTTTATTATTCTCCGCACTTTGCATCCTACAAAAATTTACAACATGGACTGGAGAAAATTAAAGCCGCAGTTTACATCTGCCCACCTACAGCCGGCAGATTAGGCAAATAATTCTGAGTGAATAGTCGGCCTTCCGAGTGAAATGCCCCTCAATAAACTTTTCAAACTTCCCAAGCTAAAAATTAGTTACGCCATTGCGAATAACCACTACTCAGTGGCGTCGTTATCCTGGTTGTTTCTACTTTTTAACAGTATTCACTGTTTGTATTACTTGTTACTCGTGATGTATTGATTGATTTAAATATTTTAAATAATATTAATTAATAGATAATTTAAATCTGTTATGTGCGTTGTTTTATTCAACAATTTTTATTCCATGAGTCGCTTCAAAAAAAAAAATTGGTCTAAAGAGTTTAGACAGTACTTCCCTCGCTGTCGGAAACTTGACGACTGCATGCCTATTGTGTTTTTTATTCTCATTACATTTTTGTAGTGGGAATTTAAAAAAAAAATTGTGATGACGTCATCAACATTTTTGCAAGGACACGTATATCAGTTGGGATAGATGTAGTGTAATACTAAGAATAAAATTATTATATTCTCAAATTTTCGGGAAAATGAATTGGGTCGTTTTGAATATTGATTTCTTATAATAATCAATAAAATAACGAAACAATTTACTCACGTATATGGTGTCGGTGTGTAATATCTAGAGAGCGGATTTCTGTCGGGCTAGGCAAGGCCAAACTCGGTACGGCTCGTACGGGATGCGAATTCATTGCGGTTGCGGACTGCACTTCGTTTATTTGAGATTAGAATAACGCTGTTTCGTTGCACTCTGCTGTTAATTCTCGTTCTCATTTACTTAGCCGTTTGATTAATAAATCGTTAATTATATTTATGGAATTAGTACCGATTAAACGTGACGTAGCCCGACAAAAATCCGCTGTCTAGTAATATGAAAGGCAACTGAAAATCGTTTATGTATAAACATTCTTAATTTAAGATGACAAGCGTAACAGCATACGTGAGAGTCAAACAGAGAAACTGTAAACAAAACGACCATCGGTTTTATTGCTTCGACTTCCGCTTATTATATAAAACATTGGGTTTTATTTTAAAGTCGATGTAAATAAGCGTGCTACCCTTATGTTTCAACCGAGTTTTTCCTTTAACAAATTTTGTGTCTACCAAATTGGGTTGGTTGGGGTGTAATACTAATAATAAGTGTTGCCTTTAATTTAATCAATAAAATAAATTGACTTCATTAATTTTTTTGAACCACCTCTTAAGAAAATCTAAAAAATATGAATGGAATGATAAATCACAAGTACAAACTCATCATATTTTTTGCATTTTAGATAGGATTTATTCAGCAAAATTTAAGGGTGACGTCATCAATTTTTTTAGGAGGGATGAACCAATACATTTTGAACAAATGTTTACCATGCTTATAATAACATTAAAATATTCCCAAGATTTCAAAGCATTCGGTTTTGTAATTCCTGATTAAATCGATAAAATAAATTCACGCCTTCATTAATTTTTTTGAGTCACCCTGCATATGCAAATCCAAAAATATGAATGGAATGATAAATCACAAGTACAGACTCATCGTATTTTGTACATTTTAGATACGATTTATTCGGCAAACTTTTGAGCTGACGTCATCAGTTTTTTGTAGAAGATAACCAAATATATTTTGACTAAAAATTTATTATGCTCTTTATAACCTTAAAACATCTGCAAGATTTCAAAGCATTCGGTTTTGTAGTTCCTGATTAAATCAATAAAATAAATTTACGCATTCATTAATTTTTTTGAGTCACCCTATATATGCAAATCGAAAAAATTAGAATGGAATGATAAATCACAAGAAGAGACTCACCATATTTTGTACATTTTAGATAGGATTTATTCAGCAAAATTTTGTGGTGACGTCATAAATTTTTTAGGGGGGACGACCAAATACATTTTGATCAAAAATTTACCATGCTTATGATAATTTTAAAATATCTTCAAGATTTCGAAGCATTCGGTTTTGTAGTTCCTGAGTAAAGCAGTAAAATAAATTTAAGCTTTCATTTATTTTCTTGAATCACCCTGTATATGCAAATCCAAAAAATATTAATGGAGTGATAGATCACAAGTACAGACTGATCGTATTTTGTACATTTTAGATATGATTTATTCGGCAAATTTTCGAGCCGACGTCATCAAGTTTTTGGAGGGGATAAGCAAATATATTTTGACTAAACATTTATTATGCTCTTTATAACCTTAAAACATCTGCAAGATGTCAGAGCATTCCGTTTTGTAGTTCCTGATTAAATCAATAAAATATATTTACGCATTCATTAATTTTTTTGAGTCACTCTGTATATGCAAATCCAAAAAATATGAATGGAGTGATAAATGACAAGTACAGACTCATCATATTTTGTACATTTTAGATATGATTTATTCGGCAAACTTTCGAGCTGACGTCATCAAGTTTTTGGAGGGGATAAGCAAATATATTTTGACTAAACATTTATTATGCTCTTTATGACCTTAAAATATCTGCAAGATTTCAGAGCATTCGGTTTTGTAGTTCCTGATTAAATCAATAAAATATATTTACGCATTCATTATTTTTTTTGAGTCACCCTGTATATGCAAATCCAAAAAATATGAATGGAGTGATAAAGTACAAGTACAGACTCATCATATTTTTACAGTTTAGATAGGATTTATTCAGCAAACTTTCGAGCTGACGTCATCAATTTTTTGGAGGGGATAAGCAAATATATTTTGACTAAACATTTATTATGCTCTTTAGAACCTTAAAACATCTGCAAGATTTCAAAGCATTCGGTTTTGTAGTTTCTGAGTAAATCAGTAAAATAAATTTACGCATTCATTAATTTTTTTGAGTCAGCCTGTATATGCAAATCCAAAAAATATGAATGGAGTGATAGATCACAAGTACAGACTCATCATATTTTGTACATTTTAGATATGATTTATTCCACAAACTTTTGAGCTGACGTCATCAAGTTTTTGGAGGGGATAAGCAAATATTTTTTGACTAAAGATTTATGATGCTCTTTATAGCCTTAAAACATCTGCAACATTTCAAAGCATTCTGGTTAGCAGATTAAAAATTAAATTTCAAAATGTTGTTTTATAATTTTGATTTTTTTTCCAAAAATCTGGACGTTTCGGGTGAAAAGTCGATTCAGAGTTGTAAACTACATGTGTAGGACTATGTTATTTTATACAATTGAAAACCCATTTACTATGTACAATTTTGAAGTGACGTCATCGCATTAGTGGTGGGGATGATTAGACAA